ATCCTTCTTTAGGCAGATATCCAACAACTATCTCCTGTTTTTAGCCTTACACCCTATCATTAGATCCTTCTTTAGCCAGATGTCCAACAGCTATCTCCTGTTTTTAGTCTTACATCCTATCCTTAGATCCTTCTTTAGCCAGATATCCAACAGCTATCTCCTCTTTTTAGTACCATTGTTCTAGCCGGTTTAAACTGCTTGATCCCATTTTCAGATATACACCCAATGCTTGTTCTTTTGTTTAACAAAATACCCCATCACTAGTTTCTTTTAAGCATGACTTTATAGAAAACACCCGACTGCTAGCTCCTTTTTTCAACCTATCTGCCTTTCAAAGATGTTATCTGCAATGATATGACTACTAGCAAAAAAAGATGTATAATTTGACTAGGTATGTGTATAGGACAGTACAGGAATGCATAAACATGTGTTTATACCGGGTAATTATGAATGTTACTTTGGGTATACTTTGCAGTATTTATTATTTCATCATTGTTATTTATGTATTCACATGATTGATGCTGGTATAACAGAACACAGTTAGAATTTCATATTTCTGTTTATTTATAAAAGTATCAAAAACACAAATTCATACAGATACTGTAAAAATTGAGACACTTGAAAATATAAAATGTGTTTTTTTGTAAAAAATTTTCCAAAGTCCAAGCACATTTTGTTTTGCACATTCAATATTAAAACTATTTTCAAAAAAAGTACCATTAAATAATAATATCTCTAATAAGTACCCTGTTAGTAAAGTAATTTGGCAATTTTTTAATTCATTTAAACATATTTTTAATTGTGAGTCATTATTTACATAATAAAAGTAGCATGAAAAATAAAAATATGTATATACAAAGTATCTTGATATAATACAATTCATGTTAAAATTATCATTACTGTATTTGCTGTTTTAGTAAATGTATTTAACATAAATATATTTACAGAGGGCACAGTCAGAGTTTGTACGGATAGTTAGCAAACTTCCTAGGAATATCCTTATGAACATTGCAATATAGAGAGGGACTTTCTAATTGGCACTATCTATGTATGAAAACATTTGCAAA